AGGGCTAGCCTTGAATTTGTAGCAACATTGAGAATTACGTTTGTTCCAACACATCTGTTATATTGGTCAGCTTTGCCTCCCCCAGAATGAGAATCTCAGAAATCACTTGACTGGGCTCAAGTTATCTGTGAATTTTCATAATATTTTATGATCGCTGGCTGCATTTTATGACTGTATATTAAATGTTTTATTTTTTTTCAAATACTTTTTCCAAATGGTCTCAGCTTCCCATCCAAGGGATAACAGGCATATGCCCACATATCTACTGTTCAACAAGTTATAACTAATACAAAACTTAAGATTAACAAAAAATCCCCCAAATCTACACACCCGACCTTCCACTGTATCTCTTCCCGGTAGGGCATTCCTTCGGCTTTTAATTGGAGCCTTTTTCATAATTGTTGTCATTTAACACATTTAGTCTGTCAAATCATGGGATGTCTTTATGGCCATATAATAAACCCAAGAGAACAACTTCTCTGACTGTAACCATCTGTAATGATCACAAAAGTAGCTTACAAAATACTGACAGTCTTTATGGTAATAGGATACATATGGCAGCCCACAATTATGTGTGGCTGCATTCAATTAGTGTTGTACAATTACACAGTTTTATTGCTTAGTTAAAACAGTGAAAGCACTACATGCTGGGTAATTTGCACTAATCCCCGTCTCTTTAATAGCCCCTTGGTGTTTAAAATGTGGGGGAACATCTATAGTATTTAAAGGGCCTGGGATGAACGTTAAACTATATCTCATATTGTGAACTCCTTGACTGACAATTAATGTACTCCCACTAAGCGTGTGGGTCATGTTTTATATTGCCTTTAAAATACAGTTGTAGCAAGAAGTTCCCGTTCTACCAGACCCCTTGGGTGGACTAAATTGTCCAGGTCTCCACTTGTAGTCTGCTAACATCCTTTTCAGAAAACAGTTGGGGTATGGAAAGTTCTTGAGGAGCAAAGTCAGAATCCATTCTGAGCATCATCATTTCTTAAATAAATTTTGAAGCTCGAAATATTTAAAATATTTTAAATTACATGTATATGTGTGGGTAGGTTTGTGAATATGAGTGCAATGCCCTCAGAGGCCAAAAGAGGGAGTTTTGGATCCTCTAGAGCTGGAGTTACAGGCAGTTATGGCTGTCCAATATGGGTGCTGGGAACTGAATTCTGGTTCTTTGAAAGAAAGGTGAGCACTGCGCCATTTCTCCAGCCCCGAGACTCACCTTTTTAAAAATATTTTATTATTTTTTATTTTATGTGAATGAGTATATTGCCTGCATGTGTGTGATTGCACCCATGTTATGCAATGCCGAAGGAGGTCAGAAGAGGGTGTTGGATCCTCCTGGAACTGTAGTTACGGGTGGTTGTTAGCCACCATGTGGGTGCTGGTAATTGAACCTAGGTCCTCTGCAAGAGCAGTCAGTGCTCTTAACAGCTGAGCCATCTTTCCAGCGCTGAGACTCACCATTTTAAATGGGAATTTGAGAGTGACCTTCATGCTTTCTAACTTTTATTTAAAGTTTAGTTCATGAAGCTGGAGAGATGACTCGGCGGTTAAGAACACTAGCTGCTCTTGCAGAGGACCCAGGTTCGATTCCCAGTATCCACACGGAGACTAACAACCGATGTAACCTTAGTTGCAGTTGATCCCATTCCTTCATCTGACCTCAGTGGGCTTTGCATGACATGGGCTCACTTATGTACATGCAGGCAATACACTCACACATAAAATAAAAATAGTATTTAAAAATAAAATTAAAGAAAAAAACAACTCAGAGTGAATTTATAGCTGCCATTTAGAAAAATACTTTGTAGAGATCATTTGAGGACTCTGTGTGTGTGTGTGTGTGTGTGTGTATGTGATGCAAATACATGAATCAAGCTGTGATTTTTTTTTAAATAAAGTTTTGACCACATTTGCAAATGGCCTTACTGGCTCTCATACTCCTTGGACAGGGGTCAATAGGAGACAAGGGTGCACGCCCTCAGGGTGCAGACAGCAGTCCTGATGAGTCCCAGTTCTTAGAGAGTTCACTATGCCACTTAAGAAAAGGGTGCTTCCCTTGGATGAGAAGAAACACTGGAATATATTCTGCAACTTTCTCCCAAAGTGTTGACAGAGAAAAACCCCACAATAACCTTGTTTCCTGCCCTGCCTGACAATAAGTTAAACAGAATTCCAAACTAGAGCCCTGCACATTCATTCACCTGCAAAAACATTTTGTTGAAGTATTTGTAGAGGACTCATGTCTTGAAATGTTTTCAATTACATGGAATTGGCCTTTGTCTTTAAGCTCTGAGTATATCGAGCCTCTTTATACTGATGAAAATTCTACCACACAATTTTCAAAGCTCAAAAGCATATTGTGTATGTGACTAAAGAGATTTTTTTAAATGCCAGAATTATATCTTCAGCATATTTAAGTGGCTTGGGATTTTTAGAAGTATTGATCATTGTAAGAGGGTCCTTTATTTTTTGTAGCTTTGTAGCATTTTTAGTGCTTTCTTTTTCTTTTGCTTGCTTGCCTTGAAGTGCTGGGACCTGAAGCCTGGTCCTCATATTTTCCTTTCTTTGAACTATATTGTTCATCCATATTACATGTAATTGCTATGCAGCTATTTAGTAAGAATTCCCATTAAAAAGTAGACGCTTATAAATAAAACAGTTGCCTCTTGTGAATTGCATAGTCATATCCAGAGCCATAAGTGGGTTTTAATGACTGGATTCTCCAACATCTGGTTTTGTCAAACTTTTGAATAAAGTTAGGTGATACAGATACTGTGTTTAGAAAAAAAGGGGGGGTCTACAAAATTCCTGAATAAATGGGATTGAATAGATCAAAATCTGTTCAACCTCACAAAGCACACATCATGAATGTTCGGACCCCACAGAACATCAAAGCAAGAGGGTATTTTGCATTTAGAAAGTTATTGATACCAAAATGGAATTCCGGACGTAAACAGTTCTGTACGGGAAATGAACTAGACAGACAATCTAGACGTTTCCATCTCACGTTTCTTTTCATGAAAAACATTTGCTTGTTGTTTAGATGACCAGAATGCCATGATAACACCATAATTTAGTGATTTCTTTTGCTTGGGAACATTTAGGTTGGGGACAATATTGTATTTTGTAGCTCCGATGTCTCAAAGCACTAACTTAAACCTGTTCCTGGTAATCAGGGCTATACAGCTGCTTTATTAAACAATGGGGACAGTATCTACCCCAGAGGACAACAGGACAGGGGCTGTCTTTGCCCTAGCAACCCAACTGCAGGCAATCTCAGAAGTCTTTGGATGCCTGCCCAAGGACAGCCCAAACTTGGTCAGTATCCAGAGCCCTAGGGACAAAGACTCCATAATATGAGTGTGGAGAAGATGTAGTAGAGTAATTTCCATCAGAAATGACAGTCTCTCCAGAGAGGTGGATCCGCCTGCCAAAACAGTTGGATTCAAATGGTCATTGCTGATGTTACAGATTAGCTGGCCAAACATCTGCACTTTGTGCTGCAGCGGAATGCAAAGTTAATCTACTTTCTCCAAAGACAGGAAGATACCGCATGTGCACAGTAGTGGTACCCCTCATGTGTGGAGATGTGTCTTGCTGTGATAGAGGTTCAGTCGAATTCAGGAAGTAACAGATGATCACGGAGTGATAACAGAACGACATGCAAGCCTCAACTTGCTGGATAAATTATTTTGATGAATGTGGAAAACTTTGCCATTTCTTTGAGGGCTTGGAAATGGTAGGATTTTAATGTAGTTTTCTTTTCTTTATCATATTAATTCCAGGTCACGACACTGAATTAGAATTCTGAATGCCTTTTTATTCTTTCTTTGAAATCAGTAAAGTTGTTTGGGCTACTTTTTAAAACATATCCAGTCAGTTTGATCTTGGGCTAGAATTAAAGGAGTTTAAATGCATGCCTAGAGTCCTGGGCATCCTTATTTTGATTTGTGAGGTGAAAGACTGAAAACTTACTGCCTTAATAAAGAAACCTGGACTGAATGCTAGCTCTACACCTGATAAATCTTTCCAAATTGCCACAGGTGAAATGAATTGTTAACATTCTTTTCAATTATTAATAAAAAAATGTAAATAGATCTTGTCGGAAATGTGGGACATTGAAAATAAAGTATTTTAATATATGCATAGATGTTTTGTTACATTTACTGAAGAATGGCATGTTTAAAGCTTCTCCTTTACTGAAGTGATGTAATTATTTTCATAAATAGTAGATTCTGCACTAGAGACTTTCTGTGCTTCATTTTATGGAAAATATCAAATACAAATAAGCCAGAGGGAAAAGTCTCCATAATCTTGCCACCCAGAAACAGATATACCAGCCCAGTGTTATTTCAGACTTTGGCCCTTGTAGGGTTTTTTTCCTTTTCATTAGTGGGTATGTTATACAAACCAATCTGCAGCAGCTAGCCTCACTTCCCAAATATAACTCACTTCAGAAAATAGAACCATATATCACCATTTAAAAACTTTTTGCATGTATTTTGTGTGTGTGTGTGTGTGTGTGTGTGTGTGTGTCTGTGTGTGTGTAAGCACATTGCCACGGTGCACGCATGGAGGTTCAGAGGACAACTTGCAGGAATTGTTCTCTCTTTTCATCATGCATTGTCGGAAATCACAGGTCATCTGGCTGGGCTACAAGTGCCGTACCGCTGAGCCGTCTCCCCAGCTCCCACATCAGCATTTTGATGAGCATCTACATCCCGTTGTATGAATGTCCCACCATTTGCTTAATGAATTCCATTTGCCAATTGTTTACTGTGTTTCTAATGTTGCAGTGATCTAAGGAAATATATTCTTGTGTGGCTATCCTTGCGCAGTTGCCTGGTTTTGTTGTTCTTTGGCTTTTTGTTTCTTCCTTGTTACTTCACTTATGTTAGACTTAATCTACAGTGTCCCATATTGCTTCAAGGAAAAGCTTTGAGATCTTGCTTTTTTTAAGGCATTTATGTGTTTTACTTTTATTTTAGGTGTATGAGCACCAGGATGGCAGCAAATCCTTGAAGTTGGGTGACTTTGGACTGGCCACCATTGTCGATGGCCCCCTGTACACAGTCTGTGGCACCCCAACATATGTGGCTCCAGAAATCATTGCAGAGACCGGGTAATGCTTCTCCTGCATTTCAGTGCTATGCCCGCAGAACAACAGGGAACATAAGAAACATATTACTGAGCTGTCTCGCCAGACAGAACTGTCTGCTTTCTTCCATCCTCTCTCTCTCTCTCTCTCTCTCTCTCTCTCACACACACACACACACACACACACACACCTACTTTTACAGCAAGCCATTTTCTTTGTTTCTTTAATCAAGTTGCTAGTGACTGCCATCTTGTTTAAGGCTTGTATTTGGTCTTTGTTAAAGGTAAAGCAGTTTCCTTTTTAATTTCTTTGTTAAGTGTATGAGTGTTTTGCCTGCTCTATGTAGGTGTACAACGTGCATGCAATGCCCCCCTGGACTGGAGTTACCAGCAGTTGTTAGCTGCTTTGTAGGTGCTGGGAACTGAACTTGAGTCCTTTGGAAGAGGGGCCACTGCTCTTAACCGCTGAGCCATTTCTCCAGTCCCCTGTAAAATAGTCATTAACCACTGAATAAGAAAAGGTCCAGATGACAGAAAAACATGTCAGTAGTAATTAACTCACTTTTGAAGATAACAGAAGGTACAGCTGTGTCCTGTTATTCCAGTCTCTTATGGTTATTTCTCAGTCACCCTTAACATGTCCTGGTCCCATTTTGGTCCTCTTGGAGATTCCTTAGCTCCTATGGAAGGAAAACACCCTTAGCAATCAGCGAGCCATTGGATGTTTGCTGGTCTGTGCGTGCAGAATGAGATGGTCATCGCTACCCTCAATTGGGCAAATGGATGGGGGAAGGGTAACCCATGACTTATGAACCTATATGCCAATTCTTAAATACTCCTTGATTCTCACTCTGCCAGTACATAGTGTGACTCTCATTTCATGCATGACTATGTAGTGACATGTATGACTATGTAGTGACTTTTCATCTGACCAGTTAAGTATCTTATAGTCTCATGATGAGTTAGTGGCTGAATCAGTATTTGAACTCAGGATGGCCTGAGACAAAAGCTTTATCATTAAAAAGTCTGTTACCAAGAGCCATAGCCAGAGCTCTGAAGTGCTATCCTTCAGCAGGAGGAATGGGAAGGATGGTGTGGTGAAGAAGGGGGGAGGCAGCCCATTTTCTTTCTTTTTTGTTGTTTGTTTTGTGGTACTGAGGATTGACTCAAGAGCCTCGGCACACCAGACAGTCACTCTATCACTGCGATGCACCCCAGCCTCAAATACTTGTATTAGTGATTTCAACCTACATGTAGATCCCACATGGAGGTAGAGTTGATTTTTCTGTTTGTACCATTTACCCAAAAGGGTAGAAAAACAGAACACACAAGAAAATGACCCTCAGAGGGAAACCCACAGGGTGAGAAAGGAGGGTTTGGGCACTTTTTAAATTTTTACTGGAGTTACAGACCATTGTGAACCACCATGTAGTTTCTGGGAACCAAACGTGGGTCTTCTGTAAGAACAGCAAGTGCTCTTAACCACTGACCCATCTCTCCAGTCCCATGTGTTCCTTTTTTAAAAAAATACTTGCCTTGAACTCATTTAGTGAGTGAGTTTTAGTTTAGTGTTTGTTGTCAGATTTTTTAATTTTGTTCACTCTCCTTTTGGGCTTGCAGTAGAAAACTCATCTATTTGAGCATGCTGTATAATTTGTCCTGGCTGACTTTGCTAACTCCAACATCATTTCTTTTTCCAGATATGGCCTCAAGGTGGACATCTGGGCAGCTGGTGTAATCACTTACATCCTGTTGTGTGGTTTCCCTCCATTTCGTGGGTATGGGCAGCAATCTTTTATTCAGTACCAACAAAGCATTTCTCTAGTCTCTGAATGATCCACTCACCCTTCGCACACAAAGGAGCCTACAGCAGAAAAAGACATAATAAGAACCCCACTCACAACGCCTGTTCTTTCTTCCGTTGTGTATGCTAATTCACATGCCTTCTGTAAAGCTCATTCTTTCTTAATTTACCAAAACAGTTGCATACTGATATTTTCAATGTCTTTAACAAAAAAAAAAATGTCTTTTGTACATTTAATAAAAAAAGAAGGGCTCCAGTGCTCCAGTGACAAAAATGACAGGGCATGCCCTGAGCGGACATTCAGAGCTGTTCTCTCCTTGTTGTTCATGTACACAGAAGTGGTGATGATCAGGAGGTGCTTTTCGATCAGATCTTGATGGGGCAGGTGGACTTTCCTTCTCCGTACTGGGACAATGTGTCTGATTCTGCAAAGGTAGGTTTCCTGTGCTGGCTTCTGCCACCGAGCCAGAGTGCCTTAACGGAATTGACTCTAAATCAGTGTGTGCAAAGACATTCATGACAGAAATGTGACTTTGGTACATACTTTCTATATAATTCCAAGATTTCACAGACATCAGGGCACAGTCATCCCAGCCAGTACGTGTCTAGGGCCACCACCTTGTTGTCAGTCCAGGCGCATCTCAGTGGCTTCCTGATGTGCCCACCCTTGCTGAGCATGACCCCACCTCAGATTTCCGCGTGGCATTTCTCGCCACAGGTCTTGACTCGATGCCATCTCAAGGGAAGCCTTTCACACCACTGTTTCTACTGCAGCTCTTTTATCTGGCCTGCTTTATCTTCCTTGTCTACTTAACTATTCTCCATAGAATATACACCCTTAACATTAAAAAAATGACTTTTATGTCCACCTGCTAGGTCATATAACTGCCTGTCTAAGTCTGTTGACCTACAAAGACATGTCTATGTAGGAGGCAGGGTCCTATTTATGCAGTTGATTTCCAAGCCTCCCACTAGAATGCACACTCTGTGAAGGTTAGGACTTCTGTCCCTTTAGTTCATTGCCATATCATCAGTGCCTGAATTATGACCAGTCCATGACTGGTGATCATATGTATTCAATACATGAACCATTGTATAAATGAGTGAATCAGGTAGCTAATTAATCAAAGGGAAGAAAGCTCACCCTCAACATAGGTCAAAGATGACTCCTGGAGAAACCATCACTGTAGTCCAACCTTAAAAAATAACTGGTTCAGAGACAGAGACGACGATTTTTCATCCCACTAAAGGGTCTACCTCCATGATGGACGGTGGGGGTAGCTGCACAACAGTGTGAACATACTAAATGGCACCGAACTGCACACTGAAAAGTGAGCAAAGTGGTAACTTTATACATATCAATAAAATAATTATATATCTACATCTAAGAAAACCAATAATCTTATCCTGAGATATTAGTGGACTTTGGAGGAAAAAAGGGAAACAGGTTAAATTCTTCAAATTTTCTGTAGATTGAACGTCCCTAATTTGAAAACCTAAAAATCCAAAATGGCCCAATATCTGAAATTTCTTGCTGACATACCATCAAAATACATCAGTTCTATACCTCTGATGGATTTCAGTCAAAATACAGGCATGCTAAAAATACTGTGTAAAGTTATCTTTAGGCCATTTGTATAAAATGCATATGAAACAAATTTGTGTTTTGATTTTCGTTCCACCTCAAGATATCATTGTGTATGCAAATATTCCAGAAGAACAAAAACAAAACCACTTCAGTCATGTTTGGGTCATTCGGTGTGTAGGACTTTCCTTCTGCTGTCCTGAATTTGAGTTCAGTTTAAAAATAGGCTCCTTAGACTTGACCACTGTGTTCAGAGATGAAGCCTACTGGACAAAGCCTCCCATTTTCTTCCACTGTACAGGAGTCCACCTTTGGACTTGGGAAAATATAAGGAGATGAGAGAAGTATCAAAGGGAAGGCCCAAGAACTTCAGGGATAGGAAAAGTATTCTCACCTGTAAGCAGGCGCTTTTTTACTTTTGATAGGCTCACTGTGTAGTCCGGGCTGGCCTCAATCCAGACAGGAGTCTGGAATGCTCCTGACTCAGCCTCCTGAGTGCAGGGATTTCAAGTATGTAGCACCACCTACCCCAACAAAGCTCACCCAGACCTTGCCCAACTCTTAATTCGAGCCTCTGACCTGAGGCTTGTAATCACTGACAGACACTGCCCATATGTTCTGCATTCCTTATTCACACAGCACCTGGAAAAAGGCATCATACATAGCCATGGCTTTAGCAAATTCTGGTGCAAGTTAGAAAATGAATGAAGAAAGCCAAGACAGACTCTTTACATCAATGGGAATCAGTCATCCCCATCCCATGTGGTACATGAGGAACTAGATAACGCATATCTAACCATTTCTAATACAAATTAGACAGATACATGAAAAACTACCCCACCCCTGGCCCTATCTACTCAGAGCTCATGGGAAAGTTGCATTCATTTCAGAACCATCAAATCATCTACCTACAATGATTCTGTTAACATGGATACTTTCTTTGCTTCTAAAAATACTTTATGAAATTTACTTAAATATTAATTTCATTTTATTTTTCTGTCAACTGCAAGCTGTATATTTGTATTCCAAAAGTTCACAGTTCCTTTAGATCTTGAAGGTGCCATGCAGGTAGTCAAGGTAAGTGGAATTGATGTAATTTAGGTTTTGAGCTTTTCCAAATGCTTTTGCAAACTGAGAGAGCAAGCCTGCATGTGTAGACCTCCAGCTTTTCACCTCCCAAGTTGGATAAATGGAGTCTAATATTCTTCACAGGAGCTCATCACCATGATGCTGTTGGTCAATGTGGATCAGCGATTTTCAGCTGTTCAAGTCCTTGAGCATCCCTGGGTTAATGTAAGTGACTTACTCTCTTTCCCTGTAGTCACTACTAGCATTCCTTTTAAAATACATTTTCAGATTTTCTAATGATACACCTATTTCTTCAAATGTTGTGTTTGACTTGCTTTCCCACTCTAAATGTGCCAGGCCAGTTCCAAGATCCTGCATGCATCCCATGAAGCCTTCTGATATGTTCATCTCATTTGCTTCCCATGAAATTGCCTTCCAACTGGAAGGTAGATGTGGTCCCCAGCCTCCAGCTCAAAGCCTGCTTTCTGTACTGAGAATGGGGCTGAATAACCACCCATAAAATAGAGCAGATATTCTCAGTCAGTCTTGCTGTCAGAATATGAGTGACCCAAGGTTTTCTCCTGTACCCTGGAGTACTCAATACGGCACTCCTCAAACTTGAGTGTGCTCACAGTATCTACTGACATCCTTACAAAGCAGATTCTAATGTGGTGGGTTTGAGGCTCTTCATTCTCAGCTCCTGCTGGAGGGCTCCATAGCAGCCCTTTAGGTCCAAGGTTTAATCATAGTTCTTTGCCGATGAAACAGTGCTGTACAACAGAGTCATTAATTTTTAATCCTGTATCTCTCAAAATGATTGGTAAGATTTGTTTTCATAAGTAATAATAGTAATTAATACTCATAGAAGGCTCAAGTCCAAGGATCTGTAACACTGTTTTAAGCACCTCGTATATATGAACTGATTGTGTCCTTCTCCACCACTTGATAATAATTATAACCTAGTCACTGCTGTAATCCCTGCTGTCAGATGGGAAAGCTCCATAGCTAGGTTGAATGTCTCTTCCTGTCAGAACAGAACGCAGGTGGATTTGCATATAGAAACAGATGTGGACAATCATGAAATCATGTGCTCATTAATACAGACTCTCCAAGCTCCCCACTGCATCAAATGATCTGGCTCTAAATTGAGGCAACTCTCTGAAGTGTCACCTTGGTGAGTGGTCATATGGTTTCCTTCTAAAATAATTCTGGAGACCAAGGTGTGATGAGAAGCATAATCAACAGGTGAGGTGACATGCAAGGTGGCCAGTTCTTGGGATCTTTCTCATGCTAGATCATGTGATGGTCATGGCCTATGCTTCAGTACTCCCCATGTCTGATGTCATTGTCCACATACCACAGCAAGGATATCATTATATGTCAGGAGAATATAAATGAATATAAACCTGGGGTGATGTGCAACCAAGGTTTCTTTTAGGTCTTTTCGTATAACAGAGACTCGCAAATGGTATGCAGATGTGCAAAGTTACTAATCCCCTTTGCTCTGAGATAATGGAGCAAAGTAGTTCCCACTCATGAGTGCTCTCCCTAAACCTCACCAATCTTTGCACTTACATCAGGATGTTAAGCCAAAGTTATCCTTTTCTCTAAAGTAGGACGCACCTTACTTGAGCCTAGTAACAAGCTAACAAGATTGTGTGAGAGTGATTGTATCTACTTTACAGATAAGAAGACTGAGGCTGTAGGGCATGATTGTCCCAAAGTAGTCACACTTGGAATTGAGCCAGAATTAGTAGCCAAATACCAGCACTTCAAGCTCAAGGTTTGTAAAGTCCTGTGTACCACACTACGTCTGCCCTCCCTTTTTAGTAAATGAAAACACTATGAATATGGCTGGAGTGCCTTGTGGACACTGGCCTCATGATTACAAGTCAGCAACCTTTCCAAACTAGCTGTTCTAACTCGGGCACCTTTCTCTCAGGTGTCTGGGAGGGATGAGCCACAAGCCAGATGCAGGCATTCTACAAACCAGCTCAGGTCGTCTTGGTGACAGCAATCCAGAATGATCATTTAGCCATGACCCACAGTTTATCAAATTGCATATGAGATCTCGAAAGACTGAGACAGGTGACCACACAGAACCAACAGGAAAATCTGAATTTGAAATGTGGCCTTCTAAAGGATCTAGGTTCATAGCTACAAGGAGCCATTTTAGATGCCTAAACATATTTCCTTTCCCCCGCCTGCCAAACCTGCCCTCCAGCAGCCTTGTCTGATCCTAGCAAACAGGTGTGGACATTGAGCAAGTCTGAGCCAGAGGCCTCCATGGGGAGAGCTCAGTTCTTCGAAGGTCTGGGGAGAGTCTAGATGGGTCAGCTGCAGCAGGATGTGGGTATTTGCTGCAAGATAATTTTGTGAGTATGAGCTAATGCTGCTGTATACATGAGGGGTTCTAGACACTGCTGGAAGCAACAGAATCCCCACTCTGATTCCAAAGCCAAGGACACTCTACCAAGAAGAGTCCCAGCCCAACAGGGGTAGAGACAAAAAATAAGTCTTCTGGATGTTACCCTCATATAACTAAGTTGTTCCTTTTCATAGGAGGCAGGCCACATACCTCAGCACTAAGTTCTGGCCCCCTTGGCTGCCATGCACACATTTTCACACCTGAGCCCCTTTCTGACCATCCTTTCCATAATTCTAGAACTTCTGGGATTTGGAGTTTCTGCTGTCATTTTAATTTTTCCCTAAGATCCTTGGAAAATCTTCTCTAAAACTAGATTTATAAAATATCCCATTACATAATTCAAACAAACCTTACATTCGGAGGGTATATATGATATATATATATATATATATATATGACATATATATAATATTTTAGAATTTGGTATAGAAAGTATTTGTTTTACTTTGATTTTTTTTTTGTTTGTTTGTTTTGATTTTTTGAGACAGGGTCTCCCTGTAGTCCCAGCTGGCCTGAAACTCATTATGTAGACCAAGCTGGCCTCAATCTCACAGAGCTCTGCCTGCCTCAGCCTCCCGAGTGCTGGGACTAAAGGCATGCTACATCATGCCCAGCTCTGAAATTATTTTGATATAGCAACTAAATCAGAAAGTGCTTATTTTCTTTGTCTCCAAATAATAAATTTTAACAGTAAACTTTCATAGCTAGTGCTTACTATTTGTTAAGGTCTCTGAGTTTAACACACAAAAGACCAAGCCATCAAAAGGAATGAATTAGGAATTTAAAAGGATATGCATTTAACAAAACATTTTGCATTTGGCAATTGGATTACATCTGATTACCACAAAAGGCCTTTCCCTAAGGAGGAGAAAAGTAATAATAATTATGTGACCCTGAGGAAACTGGCAGGAAGCTCTTCCTGTGTTCTTATTAGTTCCAATTTTCTGTTTTGCTTATATGATGACCTTTCTACCTGGTACCTGTAGAACTGAAAAGGTGGTCTCTCATGAAACAGAAAACAGAAGAGAAGGGCAATAGAATAAGAAAATGGAGTTGGCAAAAGTCACTTGTTTTGTCTATTCCAGAGTTTCCTCTAAGCAAGCTCACGTTGATTTTTGATACACTCTGGGTGCAAATCCTATCCTGCTCCTCAGTGTCTTCGGCCTGGAAGGGTCAGTGAATGATGGATGGCTTTTCAGGTGGGGTTAGTGAGCCACATAAACAAAGGCATCCTCAAGATGTAGCCTCTTCAGTGAGCGGGGATAGAGGCTCACCCACCTGTGTGACTTTAGGCAAGTCATTTCTCTTACCTTATCTCTTTATCTGGAGGAAACAGGACCAACTTCTCCACCTGCTATGAGAATGCAAAGAGGATCACATACTTAAAGGGACAGAGAGGACAATCTCAAGCCTTAGCCTCTAGAAGATACTTAGTAAATATTTCTGAATTTAAGTCTAGGTAAATCTGTCGTCTGTTGTCGTTGGCTGACAAAATGCAAATTGTGGTGCATGTCTGAATGCGAGTAGCTTGATTAAAGGAGAAAACCCATCACCCCCTATTTATGATCCTGGCCGTGTGCCCCCAGCTTCATGTAGATACCATGTACATTATCAGTCCTGTTGCTCTTTCCAAATGCTTGCTTTAATATGGTCACAAAATACCCACAGGAACTGTCCCAGCTAAGTTTATTGCCTTATTACCTGTCTCATGGAGAACCAGGTATGTATACTGTATGACTAACAGGGGAGACATGAGTCACTTTCCTCTAAAGGAAGCTTCACTGATAAGTAGTATAGGTTGGTGAAAAGTTCACAGACTGGACATCTCAAAAAAAAAAACAAAAACAAAAAACAAAAAACAAAAAAACCTCTCATTGGTAATTAGGTTTGAATTGTCCTTATTATATTTCAGTTGCATTGGCTTCATTTTGTTTTTGTTCCCCAAATACCACCCCATCTTGACCTGTATTATTCTCCTAATAGTCTAGGTTGCTATAGCTTTATTAATTTATATTTTACCTTGTTATTTTCCTGATTTCACTGTTGACTCAAGGGCATCAAAGGGTAAAGCTCAGTGGGGTGACTCATGCAAGGTCTGATGACTGGCTTTGCCCACAGACATTCTGATTTAAGGGGCATCAGGACTTTTCAATGCTTCAGGTGATTAAGGCAAGACCAAGTTTCAGACTCTTTATTCTAGTGGAAAGGACTGGTTTAAATAAGTCAAGTCTAGTTATGTAACTAAGTTGGTCTCATTTCTTTCTTGGTCTTTAATTTTAATTTTGCTTCTTTTATCCTACTAATTCCTCCTTTAGAAAGATACTGCTGAGCCAAGATACTCCAGAAGCGAAAAGAACAACAGAAAGAAATAAAAACAGGAGCCTAGGTCATATCCTAGGATAACCTAGGCTTACTAATAAAAATCAGCCATAGGCACACATGAATATAGATACAGCCAGCTAATTATGCTAATCAGAAGGGTTAAAAATCAAGTAAACTCCAATGGCACTGTAATTAAATATAAAACAACTTACCTACATTTATAAATGACAAATCATGACATGAAATTTTACTTCCAGGTGGGCATCTTCTCCTTTCCTTCCAACTGGATACAGCTTAACTTCTTTCACATTTTCTCCCAAGTGCAGTATGACTTGGAGACACATGGAATCACAGAACCATGTTTATGGTTAGAAGTACTGGGTACTGTGCAGCTGGGGATGGTTAACAAGAACCAAGGGGGCAACAGACTGGGAGGTGAAACGCAGCTCCACTCAAGAGCACGCTAATGAACTTGGGACTGTTTTAAACCAAATCAGAATATCCTGCTAGTAAACTACTCAAGACTGCCCTGCTTCTCATAAATCTACAGATATTTGTAATAATAGAGAATGGCAATAAATAGACTGGAAACCAGATCTCTGATTCAAAACCAAAAAGCTGTTGGGGGAGGAGGACTGTTCTAATGCATGACCCTGAGATGGTTTCCCTAAGGAAAGAGGGAATTCACTCTGCTGAGTGACTTCACATCCGACCCGCCACCACCCTCCCCACAGCTCTTCCTCAGCAACCCCCAGAGAACAGAGACCAGGAGGTTAGCTCTCCTGCAGACAGCTGGGAGAGTTCATTTTCCATTTTGCAAACTAATTTTGTTCTTGTCAGTTGCAATGCTCTGCCAAATGGTGGATGGGAATTTCTAAATCAAAAACCACTAACCTCAAACCACAACCAGCCCGTGTCAAACTTCAGAAACTACTCCCAAATCAGAGCGTCTGGTAATAATACTACAGCTATTTGTAAAATACAGCCAGGTTTGTCACGTCTAGAAAATTCATAGCACATTTTTGGCACATAATCTAGTCCAGGTAATGGTAATGAAGATGTATATATTAAAATGCACGGGTTTTAGTGGTCCTATTTATTTCATTGACGTAAGACAGTAAGTTAGCTAACTTTCACCGTCAATCCACACAGCTCAGGTGCATATCAGATCCTGAAAATCCAGTTGTTTATGTCTTTTAATCCAGTTATGTTCAACCCTTCAAAATTTATGAAGAAATGCTGCAGACCTGTTGGTTGCAATGAAGTGTGTTGCACTGTGTGCATGTGTGTGTGTGTGTGTGTGTGTGTGTGTGTGTGTGTGTGTGTGTGTGTGTGTGTGTGTGGTTACCTCCTCTAGCTGAAACACATTCTTTCATTGAGGAAAAAAAAAAAAAAAAGGTCCTGAAACGTTCTAAGATTTATGAAGTCCAAAGTATCACTGACAACTTGTGCAAGTCATTTCAGTGTTTTTATTGCCTCATGTAAACTAATAGCCCAGTGAAGCTCAAACCTTCGCTACAGTATAAAGCTAGAAGCCCCGGTGTCTAAAAGCGTCCTCATCTGCCTTTACAGGGGATGAGGACTAGAATGGGGCTAGGGGATGAAAAGGAAATCCATTCACTCAAGAACTTGAGTGGGTGGCGTGGTGAAGGGGAATATCTGACAAAGGTACTAATGGTGGAAGAATGAGAAAGGTAGGTTATTCAGCATCTGACTCTGCCTGAGAGTCAGATGGAATCTTTACAGTTTGTCTCTTTCTTTGCACATAGGCTATTAAACATAGCCCGTGCCAATCACAGGTTCATGCTATTGGCAAAGCATAACTTCATTTTATCCAGTGTCAGCCAAGCCTTCTGGCACTGCCTAGTGCACACAGGACCCTGAAGCCTTGGCCTTATTAGGTGAAGTTGCCACCTCCCAGACAAATGGATGCCCAGTCCTCACTTGACATTGAAGTTTATAACAACATCCTTCAGGAGCATTCCCCTGACTCTGATGTGCTCAACAACCATTTTATTGACCTTCAGATGCTCCTCCGGCTCCATTAAGCCCTGTCCAAGGAGTCTCTGGTTTCTTTAGCCTCTAATTCAATTCCCATTCTGCCCCATTGCTGTGTGATTTTCATCATGGAAAAAAATGGCTCATTGAATATTTTCACTTAGCAATGCATGTGGTGTGGGAGAAAGAACCGTTTCAGCCATGGTTCAGCTTTGACTTGATTACTTTGTAGCTGTGTGACCTTGAGCAAATGATTTCACCACACTGAGCCTCAGTTTGCTTGACTTCAAATAGGACTGATAATGCATACAGTAGGCACCAGTCTGAGGATGAAGGGGGTGCATGTGTTGTTAGCACAAGGTCATGGTCCATCACCCTCCTCTGCCTGCCTGTCCCTATCCTCCTCTACATCTCAACACACATATCACCTGTTCTGTCCTTGTTTAGGCTTACATCAGAAAAAAGAGGTAGTCCTCCCTGGGAAGAACTGTTCACTTCCACTTTCCACTCCTGCTCTTCCTGTCATCTCCTAATGCTCCTTTCTTCTAGCTTATCCTAACACAAATGGGCTCAAGTTTATTTGTCCTGAATCTGTTTCCCAGTCATACTTTTCAACCATTTCATAATGGAAAGTTCATTTAAATCATTTTGCCTGAGGTGGCCTAGAACTCTAGTAAACCATGGTTAACATACATGTATAGCATTAGCTGTGAGGTGCCATAGGGCGTCACTGTATGAGGGTGGTCCCTTTCATTCAGGGAGAACCTCCAGTTAGGCCAGAGGCATGACCCTAATAATTGTAAGACTTTCAGTTTCATTCTATGCCTTGAGAAATGTTTAAATACTCTCTCAAAAACTGTAACTTAGATTCTAAGGGTGGTTGACTCGTTTAAATTCCAGGCACCTGTTTTTCATCCACCATTCAAAAAAAAATCATTCATATACGTCATTAAATTTGCCATATGTTTAAAACTCTTGGCCACATAATCCCAGCTCTTTGTGATTATCATCAAACTTCCCCTTCACTTGCAGAATCAGAAACTAGATAGTGTACTGTAAAAACATTTGAGTAGAAGAAGGGTATCCTACATGTCCCACTAACCCCTAAGTTTGAAGTAACATGAATACCTGCTGTGCACAGTGCCTGTGTTAAAGATGGCAGAAAACTTGGACGATATGGCACAAAAGGGTAAGAATTGATAGATGGATGGATGCATGCATGCATGATATGCATGTTGATAGATAGATACATACATAGATAGATCCACAGATACATAGATAGATTGATAGATAATGGATGGATGATGGAAGATAGATGATAGATAGATGATACATTCATACATATATGCATACATACATATGCGTGAATGAACAAAAAAAAGGTATTGGGAACTTACAGAAGAGCTTTTAGAATGAATTATGCTAAAATGAGGAAAAATGTCTTAGAATGGGTCATTTGGACTCAAGTTTTCAAGGAAAAAGAGGGACCACAGAATCCCAAAGAGCAGATAACCCATACATATTTTTGCTTACCATTATTTACTACATGAAGTGGCAAAGTCTTGGTCCTGTGTAGACGTGTAGTTGATATCCACTGGATAAATGAATGACCAGTGCTGGGAGAAGGAGCAGTTGTACCCCATGTGAAGACAGCTGTTTCTGCAGAAAGAGCAAGCATATCATGCTTGGAAAACAGCAGATCGATTTTTCTGGATGGAGCAAGAAATGATATGTAAAGTGATAGAGGTGAAGGAATGGAAGGGATGGTAGGAAGTTCTTGCCCGGGTTTGGATTTTAACAGATAACACAGATTCTATTGTCCATTCTTCCATCTATTCAATAATGATTTATTAAGCATCTGGTATGTACCTAGGCACTGTGCTAAGACCTGGGGATCCAACGATGAGCAAAATATAGTCTCTGCATTTAAGGATCTACCTTTGATTGTGAACTAGTGAGTGGTGGCACATACTCTGACCCTGGTCGTTGTTAGTCCAACAGTATTTAGTACAGGAGAACAATTTGTCCAGCCTCAGTCATAAATGGTTCCAGTAAACAGAAGTCTTAGTTAAAATGAACTCTAGTTTGGAATATGTCATAACAATAGATGGTTTGAAGGCAGTAAGGAGGATTTAAAATTTAAGGAAAAACTTTCTGCCTAGAGGGTTGTCTGGGATTTTAGAATAGCCAATTGAACAGCTGTTGAAAATATCTGAGCTTCTTTATGGTCATGCATGGGATCAGGTCTACCAGTTTCCTTAGCTTTGAATTTAAACATAGGCTAGGAGGGAGAAAAGGATAGATACACTGACCTTTTTGTTTTTGTTTGGGTTTTTTATTGGCCAGATTAATTTTTTCTTGAGTATATATAGAGAGCTAAGGTTGAACATAGATTCTATTAGAAACCAAACTCAGACTATTTTCTTATTTAGAGTCAAACCTATGAGAGTCAGATGCCACAGAGCCAACTGATTATAGGACAGATGGGAAATGAAGACTTTGAAGGAGTGCTTTCAGTGACAGAGTTTCCTGAGAAGACCTTGGTTGGCTGGTTTCTGACCTCTTCCCAGTTCTAAGACTATGGCCTGAGATTCAAAGGTTTTAGCCTCACTTCCATGTATCTCATTTTTGCCCTTTTCTCTTTTATTTCTCGTTCTTTTTCCTCTAGGATGATGGCCTCCCAGAAAATGAGCATCAGCTGTCAGTAGCTGGAAAGATAAAGAAGCATTTCAACACGGGCCCCAAGCCGAACAGCACAGCAGCTGGAGTTTCTGTCATAGCAGTAAGCATCTGAAATATCCACCTCTAACTTTAAAAAGCAGCCCACCTAAGAGACAGGCGTTACTCAGGAGATTCGTCCTAGAGAGACAGCGGAATGGGTCATTTCTTTAGACAGCAGGCAAGGTGGTGCACATTATTTCCCTGGGCACCTACCTCATCATTATCCAACCCCTCTAGGGTATCTTGCAACACATATTAATTTCATGGTTTATGTTTTTAAAGGAAAAAACTCTCCTACACTGGACTCTCTGCCAATGCAAACTTTTTGACTCTCAGGAAAAGAATTTTGCATCCTTTTGTTAGGACCTAGAAGGGAAGGGAAACTGGGAAAGAGACAGCATAGTAGAGAGAGGTTGGAGCAATACGGATCTTTATACTAGATCCAGATGAAAGCCAAAACAGCAGAAAGCTTACACTGTGTGATTTTCAGTGAGACTAAACTGCTGTGAACACCCAATCAAGGCACAATGTCTTGCTCCTTAGAAATTTCTGTTCTTGAAGTTGGAAGTCTTTTCTTATTTACCATTTTATTGATGAGGTTGCACAGGATTCTTTTTTTTTTTTTTTCTTTTTGCCTGTTCTATATATGCAGGCATACACTACATGCAATTTGATAGCTGCTCCAGGCAAAGATTAAATTGGTCTGAGAAATAATGAAACCTCACACTTCCTGGTGTCATTTTCTAGAGTAAATATATTCAAGTCTCAGATTGCTCGAGTTTTTAATAATTTCCTCTTTATCCAGGGCATGTAAATTTTAACAGCATACTCAATGTGAAAAATCACTTGAGCTGTTTTTCTTTTCTGAACAAAGAACTTATGACACTGTGATAATGAATCTTCAAAAAGTATTTATGCTGTCAATGTCCCCGCTGCTCATGAGGAGGACTGAATGGTTAACTCTTTCTATGGCTGCTTCTATTTTCTATTTTTCTTTTCGTTTTCGGTCTTGCTATAGTTCCAAATAAAGCTACTTACTAATATAAATGACTGAGTTGAGAGAACCAGTCCCAGATCTTGGTTAGTAAATATCCGATGAGGACTTCCAGACTTCGCAAGTGGTACAAAGGCATGCTTGCATGCTGTGGTATGATTTGTACCTCATGGGTCTCCAGTGATCCTTTCCAATAGTGAGTCACAAGTATGGGTAACCTGACACATGAGTGAACGGAAGGGGCTCAGTAGAACGCATCCTTTCAGATGTTCCTCAGTACTTCTGAGGTTTTACAGTCGCAAGCTGTTCTTTTCACCCCCTCTCTAGTTCTGAGAAAACTTAATGTAAAAGTTCAGGTGTTCCCCATATTTTCCATATAGGCTCAGTGTTCTTTATCAGCTAACATTCATTCAGTAATTTTGTAAGTTGCAATCTCTTGGTGATGCTCAACTAAACCAAACCCGCTATACCTTGTCTTCATTGTTCATTCAAGATCAAGATATGAGTCCATTCCAAAAGGTTTGGCTCCAGAGGCGCAGTTTTGGAATGGGCTGCCAGCGTTCTTGTCACGAAAAGCTTGGGGCTTACTACTTACTACTAAACAGAGTGTCTTTTCCACCTTGGTCATTTCGGTTTCATTCTTTTTTATCATCTTTCATTTTAATCTGTCTTTGGTTAAGTTTGCCTTGACTTTTTAGTAATGGTTTGTTCACAGTAATGACTGCAGGCAGAAACTTCAGGGTGATTTTCCAGTTGACACACATTTTTGAGGGGAAATCCTATTTTAATCAAACATGGATAAATTCTGAAACCCAATCCTTATGAGTTTACTAAGACTTTATCTAAATGTACCTCAAAAGATAGCAATGGTCCACTGATTTTATTTTTTTCCTAAGTATCATGATTGGTCCACTTTGAATGAAAAAAATTTTTTTTGCTTTTATTTGTTGTTTTTGTTTTTTGGCTTTTTGAGACAAGGTCTCATCCTGTACCCCAGGGTGGCCTAAAACTAACCGTGTAGCCCAGGCTGACTTCAAACTCAAACCAGTCCTCCTATTTCAGTCTCCTGAGTGTTTGGCTTGAAAGTGTGACTCACCACACCCAGCTTGAATGGCCTTTTGAATGCAGAAAGTTATCACTAACATATTTTCCACAGCAAACAAACCAATAATATATGTTGCAGAGAAGCCCGTGTAATGTTTAGTTACACATTAGTTGTATGCATATGTAATGTGCTTTAGCCACTACAGAGTTTTTTTTAAGGTAATTATCAACTTAGAATGCAATTAATTGGCTAGTTTGGGGGAAGAAGTAGATCTTTTATAGTGTCTCATCAGCACTTTGGCACAAATCCACATTTTTAACTGCTATCATTAATACTCCAAGTATGAAAAAATATCAGTTTCAGAGTCTGTTGCAGAAGAAAGTGACCTGCATTTATATACCCTCTCTAGGATGCCTTTCCCTCATCAGCATCCCCACCTTCCACAAGAAACCTCAGGAAGTCATGAGTCCCAGAGCAGAGCTGATAATTAGAAACTAGCCAGTTTTGTTCCCTTGTTATTCACTTTAAGAACAGCATTGGTGAAGTGCATAAAATTGTTTCTAGTCTTAAGTACAAAGACTAAGTATTTGGAGTCTGTCACAAGAAAAAAGGATCATTGGTATTAAATAATATCCCATTCCAAACTCCAAGCATAACTGCTAAATAGCAATAATCTTTTATGAGACAGAACACTAGTGAGAGATATAGTAAACGTCCTTTATAAATGGCACAGTCTATAAGACTACCTGAAAATTCAATAATTCATTTTATTCATTCACCATAAGAACTTCTTTAATTAATATAACACAATGATAATTTCTGTTTGATAAATGAAGTAAAAATAGATTTGAATAAATTTCCTTCAAACAGAATTTTTTCCTGAGCACATATGCTCTCCCTGGAGGTTATGAAATAAGTTAATTTTATTTAGATTTCCTTTATCATAATACTAGTTTGATTGGGTTTTTCTAATTGCATGCACTCTTGAAATTTTTTAAAAATTGGATTATAGTATCAGTTTGTGAGGGGTTTTTTTTCCTTTCTTTTCTTTTTCTGGAAATGAACAGTCGCATAGTTAGTCTTTACCTGGTAGTTGTCTTTCTTTAGTTAGAAATCTACTTGGTGCAAAGCAATAGTGTTGATGAAGGAATTCATGGCACACTTTATTTCTTGAGGGACAAAGGAAAAGAAGGGTGTACTGTCACAACAAGCATCCTCTATTCGCTACTGACACGAGTATAGTTTAACACCCACGCGTGGTTCTTAGCTGTACTGGATTTGCTCATGTTGTCATTTTTTCTCCCCCGTTTCTCATCCCCTACATTATTAAGACCAAAGAAAGGATAAATGATAACTTCATATGAAGGTTGCAGGAGGGCCCCGAGCTGACTAGGAGAGTAATTACCAGCTAGAAGTCCCAGGGATCACGGGGGCCCTTCTGAAAAGAAGGGTGTTCTAACATTGGGTCAGGCCATGTGATCAGGTGAGGACCCACTGCTGCCATAAAATTGCCACAGTCGGCCTCTGAGACCCACTCCATTGTCCCTTCGCTGCCTTTCGAAGCAGTTGGGAGATTTGGGGAGAGGGGGAAAAAAAAAAGAATAGAGAAAGGAAACAAAAGGTTATTAAAATGCAATTTATAGACATAAAATGGAATTAGAGATGACATTTTAACGGTGGACTTTCTGAGCGCGGAGGGAGGAGAGGGAGGCATTATTAGATTTGCTCAGCTTGATGAAGAACCGAAGACTAAGATGCCACTTCCAATTTATTTTTCCCCATTTAATGCTGTTTATTATTTTAACTGATAATTTTCCTAATGCTTTAAAGTTCTACTTTTGCATTTTGTTCATGCAAATAGAACATTTCAGTCTAATTGAACAAATCCATACTAATCAGTGTGCAATTGCGATATTGGGAAGCTCAGCTCTAAAGCCCACGTGCTCTATCACGTTCTAACTGTAGATGGCAATAGAGAGCCAGCAACTGTGTAGTCGTCTTTGTGGCCTAGAACAGAGGCTGCACACCAGCTTCCTAAGAGCAACTGTACTTCAATGTTTTTCCTAAATACAAAGAAAAAAACAATTTTTGAGGATTAAAACCTCATGTTGCTTTCTCTGAACATTGTTACAGCCTAGTTTCCAATAAGGACACCAAATCTGAGCAGTTTTTAGTTTAAATGCCTAGTGCCCAGGCATGTTTTTGAAATGGCTTTGTGAATTTAGAAGTAGAAACTGTCACAAGCATCAAATCAGTGAGACACTTGAAAGAACTCCTGAGCCTGTCGCTAAAGCAAGGTGCGCAAGTTGCATCCTCTGGTAGGCAGAGCCTGGGAGCACGCAAAGCATCAGGACTATTGTTCTCCAGCTTTGGGGACTGAGTCTTTTATTCCAGGGTAGCCATAGCTAACATCTTATTTCAGAAGAGACAACTCTAAGAACATGCCCCGTCTATTGTTTACTTTGCCTTTTGTTAATTATAAGCTCTTAACTGTACATAAGTATTTTTGATATTCAGGGAAGCTAATTTTCATTTTCTTTTATTTTCCCTATTTTCATAGAGAAAATGTATTGGTTTTAGTTCAGAAATACAATTAAGAGTAGCTCTACTTTTGAAGATCAACTCTTAAATCAAAATTTTTATGATTTGTGCACTTTCTAAACCTGACTTTTTTCCTCTTTTATTTCATAGTTATAAAGCTGTCAGATTTAAGCGACTTGGGATATTATTGGGGAGGGAATCCAATCTGCTTGCTCATAGGTGGCTAACACTGATTTCAGAATTTTATTTAATTGTAAACTGTTCTCTATTCTATATCACAAGAAGAGGTTTATATCTTTTGAAATTGAGGACATTGTTAAATGTGCATTCCAGAGTCTGTTTGCCAGACTAGATCTATTCAAAGAAATTGGCGTCTAAGATATTGCCAAGGGAGTAGTGTCTTTCCTTGCTGTTTTCTATTTTCAATGTGCAGATTGACAAATATTAGCTAGTTGTTCTGCAGAAAAGGCATCGTCACTGTATATACTTGCGTAGTTAATGAAGAACAGCTTGGTCTGGAGTCTTAATTCTTCAGCACAATGTTGATCCACTGAGTTGCCCCATTTCTTTCTGCTCAGCTGGACCACGGGTTTACCATCAAGAGATCAGGGTCTTTGGACTACTACCAACAACCAGGAATGTATTGGATAAGGTATGAGATGGTGCAGCTCAACAGTCAGTGTTTCCATGGCAACGTGCTGGCAGTCTCCATTAACCAGTTCCTTCAGTGGATAAACATGCTTTTGATTTGTTATCCAGTCCATATGCTGCTTTATCAGTTTTATTTTACTCTTGATTGGGATGCCACACCCCCTCATTCTTTTTCACCCATTATTCACACTGACATTTGCCAGCTTTCTTCCATTGCACATGCTCAGTATCAATTTTCCTTACGGTTAAAAGGACAGTATATTTAGTGCTACTGCCGAAGCATTTGCCTGATGTTGCTAATTAAAACAATGATTTTTTCAGTGCTCTTCTGTCCTGTAATAAATGGAAGAACAATAGCACCTTAGTATATGTTCTATAGAAGTATATACTGTCATTTTAAAGTCATCCAGCCCAACCCTGACCTTCTTAGATGATGAAACAATGCATTTACACGTTAGCATTAGAAGTGCCTCAGAGTACAGTGGGCTACAGAATGCATTGTGTGTGTTGGTAAGCTTGTGTTTTCAAATTCTCCACCTTCTTGCTTTGTTTTTGTTTTACTGTTTCCTCTCCCCCCACCCTGAAAAATCCCTCTATGTACTAGCTATTGCATGAATTTATTTTTTGATATTTGTAATTGTCAGATTATTTAGTTGGCTTATCTGCTCAAGCAAGGGGGTTTATGGGAAGTTTTGATTTGTTTAACTGGGTTATGAATTTTGTCCCATCGTTTCCTATTCCAGTCAATGGCCCTGGCATCTCCTGCAAGGGGCATTGCATGTCTCTCTCGAAAGTCATCCACAAGCAGGATGGTTTGTGATGGTTTTGAGAAATGAAGGTCTAGGGAACTTCTTATCTTAATGTCTCCAAAATGACCTTCAGGTAAAGCTCCATGACTTCGCTCTTGCCAAAAAGAATCTCCCAGCTCTGCCATTTGTTCTTCTCAAATGATGGAGCTGTCAAAATTAGACAGCTAAGTTTTACACACACAAAATGTATGTGTGTATACACACATATTCTTTTTATGTAATATGTACGATTTACTCTCCAATTATTGCTCCTAATTAACTTTTTTATAATTAGATGCTTAAAGCAAAGGACTCAGAAAAAGTCAAAAAGGGCATATTTTGACAAAGTGTAGTAAGGTCATGATCATTTCCAAATCTGCTTAGAACAAGAAAATGCCCAGCCTCAGGAAAATTTCTAGGTGATTTCTCCAGAGAAGGCTCTTTGTGCCTTCAGGATTGATACCAGGGAGAAGTTACATACCATGTTTTCATTTACCTAAGCAAATTAGCTTTTAGGGGGCAAAGGTGAATTCATCATGATGTTCCTTAGCACAGACCCTGCTTTTACTTTTTAACGTGAAACACAGTATACATCCAGAAGAGTGCACACCCCACAAATGCTCATCTTCCCAGTAGATTTTCACACCGAGCATGCAGCTTCCAGATTGGGCACAGAGCATTCCCAGCACCCTAGAAGCATGCCTCCTGGCCCTTCCCAGAGGGTGATTTTTGCCCCAGGGGTAAACACTTACCCTAGGGTCTACCTACATTAATTAGCTTTGCTTGGTTTCATACTAGATTGAATCATACCCTGCCTCAGCCTTTCTCAACATACGTCTCCTATCTTCAGGCATATTAACCAGACTTGTATATGTAGAATTTATAGACAATGAAAAATACGCAGCAAGTATGTCTAATTACAGCTGTACATGTTTTTTTGATAAAAATTATACACCTAGATTCACCCAGTATCAGAAGAAAAGGAAAACCTCTAAGAATTAAATTACAAAATTCACAGGGCTAATGGTAGGAGCCAAATATCAAGTACACATAATAATTAATACATGGGACCAAGTCTAAAAAGACTATTTAACTAAAATCCCAATGATGGTTCCCATCAGTTGACAAAACGACACATCCCTGAGTAATGGGAAGGAGCAGATGGGAGATAATCTCTTTTTTCTTCCACATATAAACTGCTCTGTTTTCCAGCTGGGGGCAGTAACAACAATGTTTATAGTTACTGCCATACTAAACAGCGTACCCAGTATGTAAAGCTAAATTGGAAAAATGATACTAAAATCTCATCGCCATCTATGCTTAATTAGGAAGTTTTATAATGCCATTTAGCCCCAGAACGAACATGCTCTCCTCACTGATTGCAAATGCTTTCCTTTTATCTCCATAGAAGTAAGAGCATTTATCTAGCCACGGTGGCAGCCAACTTCCCAACATAAACAATCATTGCAGGCGAATGTCCTCACTCCCAGTTGTATTTTAGAAGCTCATGGCTGTTCTCACTATTCTAAGCAGAGCACTCAGGAGTGCGTTACAGAGGAGCTCACACGAGGGCGTCGGCTGGAAAAAAAAAAAAAAAAACATCTCCTTGAGGTGCCCAAAATTGGCATTTTAGTCAGTGAGATCATGGAGACATGGTGACATGGTAGGGGTCCATTTTCTGATTTCTCTCCACCTATAGCTGGGGAAGAGTTCTCCAATTGGCCCATTTATCCAGGAGAACTTACCCCTGTCACCCCAAGTCCAAGGGAAACTATCTCAGGACCCATCTCACTGAGCTATTCCACACCCACCAAGAGCCCCTGAAGCATTTCTTTTCCTTGCTTCAAGTGACTGGAAAACATTTGCATCCTGTTCTAATCCTCCTCCCCCATCCCCCAGTATCCAAAGGGGAAGTGGCCACATACATTCCTACCTTTTTCAAGGGCAATTGTCCCCATGGGCAAGTTCTGTGTCCAAGAACAAAGAAAAGAATTTTGTATCTTCAGTAGATAGAACAGGGCCACAACCCAAACAAAGTAACTTGATTAACTAAACATCAAAACAAAACATAAGCTAAAACCGCTAACTAAGCAGAAAGGCGGGATGAGCTAGGACAAAAGGGTGGTTGGCTTCCCAGGTATGACTTGACTAAATGGTACAGAATGAAACAATAACGAGACACAGTAAGGCTATTAAATGTTGTCATGCATTGTTAGAAGGAATGGGGTCAGTTAAATGTATCTAAACCTGGTGTAGGTTTGAAGGTAGACAGGAGCCTCTGCATTGTGTGAGCTGGGCTTGGGGCCGCCTATGGACCTCTGCCAGCAGCAGCAGCCAAGCACACAAGAGTAAGCTGTGAGGCCCAGTCATGAGAACTGCTTGATAGCAAGTTGACTTGGCCTTGCAGTTCTGAGTGAGACTGTGTCCCCTGTCCAGTGTCAGAGGCTGCCAGGAGGGCAGATATCTCTTAAAGCAAAGCGCTCACCACCCCTTCCAGCTGAGTGAGTGGGTAAGTTTAACACATCAAAAGAGGCATGGACTTCAACTTAAAAAATCATTCAAGCTACAGTGATAGAGAAGCTTCCATAAAACATTGAGGACAGGTCCTGCAGTTGTACCTTGACACCTGAGAGTGAGTTTGGGGGCCAGTTTCAAAAGATGAGTGAGCTCCATGTCTATTGCTGTGTCACAGATGTTCACTGCAAGAAATGCAGAAACAGTTAGGCGTGGTGGCACAGGCCTTTCATTCCAGTTCTTCGAGGCCAGCCTGGTCAACACAGTGAGTTCAGGTTAGACAAGGCTACCTTGTGAGACCCAGTTTCACATACAAAGTAGAAGAACTGCAGAGGGAGAGCACCATCTGGGTTGTTTCACCAAGCCAAGCAGGTGGCCACTTTAGGCTTTGCTTGCTTTCATTTGGTTTGTTTTCAAAGGCTCCTTAAGGGAGAATTTCAACAACATATATGTCCTTCTATAAATCCACAATATTTTTAACTAGCAATGAGAGATTACTATAGCATCCTAAGTCTTCCTCGTTGGGTGTAAATTGAAGTGAAATTGTATCCCTATCCTTGGGATTCCATATTAACTAAATATTGTATGATATTTATTTTTACTTCGCTGCTCCTCTTCCTGATTAAAAGTAAGCAACTACACTCTTTGCCACATACCTACTCCTGCCGCATTTTGCAAGAGCTCTTTAGTAATAGTCACAGATGAGATTCAGACTTCAGATGTGAGTAGGAAAGAAAGTGAAGAACCTAATCATAAATACAGGCACACGTTCTATCAGGGAAGCTTGTAGGGGCTGGAGCGATGGCTCAGCAGTTAGCATTTGCTGCTCTTACAGAGGACCTGGGTTGCGTTCTCCACACCCACATGGCAGCTCACAACCATCTGTCACTCCAGTTCCTTGAGTTTGAATCCAACTTCTCCCACAATTTGTCCTACAGATGAACCTTGGAAAAGTTATATTCTTTCTCTGATTTTCAATTTTCCCCTATTAAAAAAAAAGAAGAAGAATATCTACCCTCCAAATTGGTGGTGAAGGTCACATGAGCTGTGTGTGCTCAAGAGCCTTCCCAGACTCAGCCAAAAACAGAACACAGAAAGTATTGCAATGTGTTTCCCTCACTTCCAAGAGAAAACCACTTCACAGCAGAGTCTCCTGAGAAAACTGATCTCCTTTACAATTATTAAGATGGAATCATGAACTTTAACATTTTCATCAGGGTGAGTTCCTGAGTGACTTCACTGTTATATTTTTAATGAACATTTGCAACATCAACTTTCACTTAAGACAGCTAGAGCTAAAAGTTTCATTGAGGAGCAAGTTTAAAATGCTGTCCTTAGGGCTCAGTGGTTAAGAGCACTGGCTGCTCTTGTAGAAAACCTGGGTTCAGTTCCCAGCACCTACCTGGTGACTAACAACTATCCATAACTCCAGTTCCATGAAATCCAACTCCCCTTTCTGGCCTCCATGGGCATTGCATGCACAGGTGCATTTATATACATGTGGGCAAAACACTCATACACATAAAATATAATGAATAAATAAAAATGTTAAATGCTATCTCTAGGACAAGATTGGCATACTATAACCAATGGGCAAAAACTTCCTGCTTTCATAAATAAAGTTTGTTGGACATGGGTACATACATTCATTCACAAATTGACTGTGCCTGTTTATTCTCTACCATGGAAGATTTGAATA